CAGAGATATGGGCAGTATAGTGATTGGTATATACAGAGATATGGGCAGTATAGTGATTGGTATATACAGAGATATGAGCAGTATAGTGATTGGTATATACAGAGATATGAGCAGTATAGTGATTGGTATATACAGAGGCTAGTAGTTTCACAGTAGAAGTTGGTTTGACAAAGAAGTTTGCATTTTGTTTAAGTTTACACATTTTGTTTTGATGCATTATATTTTAGTTTTTTGGTATTTTTTGCTGTTGACACATCTTGGTTTGTAGTGTTTTGACAGAAAATGTGAAGTTTTCTTTCTATCAAGTGCATTTTCAGTTACAAGTTTTAGATTGGTTGTGTTCAATGAAAACTATTCTCTCTGGCTATCTATGAAGTGCTATGTATTGATAAAAACTTCCCAGAGCAGTATTTGAATTGAAGTTAACTAGTGTCCCCACAGCAATACATGAGCAGTATTATATAGAACAAGGGTACCAGTGCTTTTATAGTGTAGATTAGGTGATACTTGATGTGCATGGCTTCATACAAGAATACCCTTTCCTCTCGTACTTGTAACAGTGTCTCTCTATACACACACAACATGACAATGAAAGTTGTATTTAACACACAGCATGGGGAATGTTGCATCACACACAACAAAATTTGTGTCGTACCCAACACAATTACTGTGTAACACCCAGCACAATTACACTGTCAAGTCTGACACAATGCAGATATCTTACCCAACACAATGCAGATGTCTCACCCAACACAATGCAGATATCTCACCTAACACAATGCATCTCACCCAACACAATGCATATATCTCACCCAACACAATGCAGATATCTCACCCAACACAATGCAGATATCTCATCCAACACAGTGCAGTTACCTCACCTAACACAACACCTTATCCAAACCTCACTGAACACCACTCCCCCTCCCTCTACCAGCCTGAACATATTCATAACATTTAGACAACTAGCTTAATTACCTCCACAGCACCCTGATGCATGCTGCTGTATATATCCCAGGATTAGCTGGATAATATAAACAGACATTGTCTTGTAAAGAGTGGAATAGAGTGCTGGCACACTGCTCAACATGAATACTAATGGAATATATTGTTGCCAAAAGTGAAAGCAAGAGTTAGTTCAAAATAAGATGAACATACACCCATGTACATGTATTTCTACTAATTCTTTATCTATCTATAAAAATAGACAAATCTAGACAGGACTGCTGCAGCTACTATATAGCATACACTGTTGTGAAGGCTCTGTGCAAGCCAGCATATATTCATATCATGTTATTTCTTAGGCTTAAAGCCATTGGTCTGTTTTAGACAATAAATTATGTATACTTTACTTGACTTTCTGGAGGCTTTCTAAAATCCTGTAGCTCACCAGTAGCTGTGATAAAAGATTGGAAAACTGCTTAACGTGGTGAAAACTATTTTATGGAGTAATTTTAGAAACCAGTTTTAAGCATTGCATGGATATTATCAAATACATATCTCTATATAGGTATTATGCAAAGTATAAATCATATCATGAAATCTTCCTATTTACCAGTTCATCAGAAAGATTTGTACTCCAGTATAACTAACAGAGTCCAGCATGACCCCCTGACCCCACCACCTCCTTACACAGCCATGAACTGAGACATGGTCGCAACTAACATATTAAACACAACTCATGCAAACACAATTAACACTGTCACACCTAACACACCCAACACAATCAAAACTAACACAATTAACACTATCACACCAAAGGCATGTTAAGTGTGACAGTGAGCTCAACTTCTGTTAACACATTTTCAGCCACCGTTTCTAAAGCAGCCACATATCCTACCACAGCATGGCAGCCACACTCCACATGTAACATAGACCACACCATTACAACAGCTTCGCAGGTAGCAGTCAAATCGGAGTATCACAATCTAAATGTGTCCATTAACCCACTAGCATGTAGCTTTCCCTGTCACTACCAGAATGTGACCTCCTGCGCTGTCACAACTAACGTAATGAACTAGTCCAGATCATTGTCATTTCGCATTTTGATAGACTGTGAACCCCATGATATCTATAACCAATGATAGCATGCAGTAGATTTTCTTATTGATCTCTTATATTTGTGTGTAAGGTTATAATTTAAATTTAATGTTGTGAAAAATCACGCATGGCTTTCAAAGCTTGTCACTGATTGTAATACATATAGCCACTTGAGAATGTTTCCTTTCTGCTCAGTAATAGAACTAGTCTATCAAAATGTGGAATGGCTACAAGTAGGGGTCATCTCAAAAGTATTAAATTTGTTGAAGAGTTATTATTTTTCGACAGTTTGGCATTTTTCTGAAAGTGTAAATATTTGCTGTATTTATCGACAAACTTATGTAATGTGCCAATGGTGGGATTATTTTTGTTATGGACATAAGATACATTGTTTTATTTCTGTTAAACCACCAAATTTATCAGTTGCAGATTATTTTTAAAAAATGTTTCAAACTTTAAGCATCAGATATAAGTTATGTTGACATTGTTTCCTATCACTTAATGTGATGGAGTTGAGCTCACTATAGTTTTTGGTTTCATGAGTTCCCAGACTGATCTCTATAGACAGCAGGATCTCTGAGATTGTCATGTATATCAGGCTCACGTTTCTTAACCAGCACTGTGTCTATATTTTGTTGCTCAGCAGCCTGGGTCTGTAGAGGTATACGATGTCAGTACAAGTGCAGTGAAGCAGTCTGGGTGTAACTAACGCCATCTATCAGTTATAATATCACTTACACCATGTAGGATTATAGTAACAGTTGTTTTGTTATTGGTAGCTGTTTCTGTGTTGTTTCCATTCACATTGGTTTGACCTAACTTGGACTTTGCCAGCCTTTAACAACAGGCAGTTCATGGAAAGGTTGACCTGCCCTTCAACTTCATGGTCAGTCAGGTGCCAGTGAGATGGTAGCTCTAAGTAAGGTCAGCCCAATTTGAGTGGAAACACAGCGTCAGTGTATGTTGATAATCAAGGTAACAACTCCATGTAGGCACCAGTGCATCTGGGGTTGGTGGTCTTTGTAGGCTACAATAATTTAGGGAAATGAAGATTTTGACATGCAATAGTAGTTTTCAGAAGTCAACAATGGAAGGTATTTTGTTACATTTCATTAATTTCTTTAGTTAAAGAAAAAAAATCTGTGGCATATAGTCACCCTGCCTAGCACTGGTTTCTACATGATGTTGATTTTCACTTAAACAGTGATTGGTGTTGTCAGATAACTTAGAATTGTCTTCAGTTTTAACTTGCTATTTCTCAAAGGTGTTTGCAGTCAATATAAAGATTTAGACAATTTCTGTGATTAAATTGAGAAAAGTTTACATCCATTGTCATGTCTAACACATTGTCAGTTTGAAAAAACACAAGAAATTACCATAACTATGAGATAATTGGCATTTGAATTTCTTCTTTTAATAGAAGTTGTTGCCTGTAAAAGAAGCCATGCTTCTGCTTGTAACATTTGGTTACCACTGGCAGGTATTACAGGATATTTTTATAGTTTAATTTTTGTAGTGAAGATGAGTATAGATTGATGGTAAATTTATGTAGTTGTTTAGCTCTGAGTTTATTTGATATCAGGACATGAAATGACATCCAGTTACACATTTTCACAATGGTCCTATCTAACACACTGCCACAATTAACACACTGCTATGTTTAGCACACTGCCTTAAAGCAATAATAACTCTTCGTTTCGGCCAAAAAATGAATTTTCCTGGAGTAAACAACAATTTTCCCATACTTACCAATGGTTAATGAATCCATTTTTACATTCAAAGTTAGTCCCTGGTTTTTTTCTAAAAAGTTTGGTTTTTTGTTAAAATCTCTTAAGAGATTTTAACAGAGTATAGACATCAATGGAGGTCACGTGGTCTAAAGACAAGTTCAGATATCAGAATAAAATCTATAACTGCTGTTTTTTGGTAAAACAGAATATATTATATTTCTATGAGTTATTCACAAGGTTTTTACTGTGAAATATAGATATCATACGAAGAGTTATTATCCCTTTAACTAACTCACTGCCACACCTAACTAACAGTTGGAACTTTCACATCCAATTTACTGACACTTTATATGCGTAATTTCAAAACAAAATGTCTGAACATTTACTGTTTTACTTACTGCCTAAAAATAGCCTCTTAAGATAATGTCAAGCATTTTTGTTCTAGATTGTTTTTATTTAGTTGAATGGGGGAAGTTGGCCAATGTTTTTTTTTTTCATGTTTTGTTGAAAGCAGTGTATCACCATGACAACAGTGTCAGCTGTGGCTCCCCCTAGTGAATTGTTTTGATCTCAATTGTTGAGCAGCAGTCTGCCACAAGTCAACTTAAGCAATTTTTTTTTTTTTTTTTTGATAAAAGCCTTTTTGTTTGCTTTAAACTTTTTGTTTTTTATTTGCACTATAACAAGCAGCAATATTATCCAAGAGATGGGAGCCTTGTTTGTGATGATTTCCATGATGAACTTAGCTTTATTTATGCCGTGTTCATTGGCCATGAGTTGATAGTCAGTGTGACACACACGTGCACACTGTCATAGTGGAGAGAGTGTCACAGTAAGACGTTGATGCACTTCTGTCAGTCAGACATTGTCACACCCGGCTCTCACATATCCTCAGTTAACATGTGGTTCTAGCTCATGGCTTGGTGTGATTGGGAAGCCAATCTAATCTCTCGTTGGACCACCTAATAAGCTATCGCAACCACGCTGCACATGCTTGCTTGCATAGTGTTCTGCCTTGAATTGAGGAGCTAAGACACAAGTATATGTGTGTCAAGAAGTTTTATGGAAGTATTCATTCTGATTTAAGTATTTATCAATATTATAATTAAGATGATAATCATTGGGGATGGTTTTATTTAGCCTTAATTAAGTTGACATATCTGCGTATCTAGACATCATTATGACAGACTTCATTTTATCTTGGCCAAGTTCAACTTACAGTTTGTGGTTCATGATGTTATTTTACAAATTTGACATTTATGTAGGTCAAGGTCAAGTAATGTGTTGATCACATGGTTTTGATTTGTAATCAGGTTGAATTTAAGATTGATCATTGATGTTTTTTACATTAGGAATATAAATATATGAATGGCTTTCATTGCCTCTCATCATGTGTT